TTATGAGCCACAACATTTTTTCCCTCGTTATTTAAGTGCAGGCCATGTGATGTAAAATGCTTTCTCCTCAATGTGTTTAACTCAATCAAATAGACATTACTCATTCTTTGTACGGTTTCGATTATATAACTGTTTGCAAGTTTTAATTCTTGATTAACTGTATCTTTTAGTGCTATGTCATATCTGATAGGTATAGTGGTCATAAATGTGGGTCTTGTAGCACTTAAAATGGTAAGTTTCTTTTCTAAGTTCTGATAGATGTCCTTGAAGTTACGATTTAGACTATCGTTGCTGCCTCCGAGGATTATAACGGGACTAGAATCATGTGTTATTGATGCTGAATCAACAACAGCACCAGCAACAGTATGTAAATATGATTGCTTCAGAATTAGTGCCACTGAGAAGAATTGGGAAGTTTAATAGCAATCTTAATTGAGTAGAGCTGGATATAACACTTGGAAATCAAAACAAATTTTACCCTGCAAGGTGAATATGCTGAACACTTAAGAGATCACTTTCGATGCATGTCATCTATATTATTAATACGCTACATCAAACATAGTGGACAATAAGGCTTTTTTGTTTTAAGATTTAACCCCACATATTATATACCAAAATGTTTGTCTAAGTAGGTGTGTAGATTTGTAAACTGACCTTACATTTTTGAAAAAGTCCCTTGGGCTCTGCCCCAGTGGCTTTAAAAGTTCCCATGTTATCCTTATTAAGAACATATTTGTTTACATTATGATGAGCTGGATAATTTAATTGCTGTTAATATTTTAGTTGCAATTTAAGGAAACATTTGGGTTGGCGTAAATATTACAATGGAAAAAGCAAGAAAGCCTGGACATTTTGATTTACAAAATAGAAAACTGAATTAACACTGTGCTGAATTTCTTGAGATATTATTGGAAGATCCGATTTGCAAATTCAAACTATGGAAACATAGGAAAGTCATAAAACACCACCAAGTAGAAGAAATAGAAATAACTAGGAGAAACCCGTCGAAATCGACGGTTAGGGGCCTCTTCGTTTATATGGGCGTGCGGCTTCATTGGCAACAAATAATGCAAATGACATAGCACAGTGGCATTTCCAAAAAGCAAAGAATACTGTAAATTGGCTGTTACGTAAATAATGACGTTTAAATGCATTGTTAATCAATGTATCTTATAAAGGATGATGTGATCTAGTTTAAAAGTAATATGAACTTTCTATCATGACAGTAGCTGCTTAAATAGTATTTACTCTTTATGCCATTTTTACAACCAAAATGTGATGTTACTTTCAATAATGTTACCAACCTAGTTGGCCACGGTCCGTAATATAGGCCACTGCAAATAATGTTTAATGATACCTAGGTACCGATACCATTCTAGGCAAGGTTTCTGTGTTTGGTTGTTATTAGACACGATAAGAGCTCAATGAACTTCTTCTACAGATAATTAATCTATTGTGGAAATATAAGCCGAATTATAAATGCGAGTTTAGGCATTTTTTAACTGTATAAGTAAGTTACACAATTTAGGCTGTTGCTCAGTCCTCTTAAGAATATATTTTTTTAGAGATAAATTAAATGGTTTTTGTTGCTGAGTAGCGATAGTTAACATGCAGAACCCTCTTCGTAAGTCTAATAACTTTCAAAGGCTCTCTAAAAGTTGAAGTTTTTGTTTGTATACATACATTTATACAATTATTAATTACATACAATTATGTTTTTACTAAGCGGAATGAATACATCGAAGTAACCGCTCTGAAAAATCTGCAGTAAATTGCAATTTTCCAGTTTAATGACTTTTTAAATCATGCACATATTTCTACATATATATTGTAAAATGTTTTATCCAGTTGCTGTACACTAATATTAATTTAACATAATATGGACACGGCTCATATGGACAACACTTCTGCACTTGTATTATTTTGTACTGTATTACACAATCAAAGACTTTTCCAATGATTGAAAACATCTATGACAATAGTCTCATGAACCTATGATGATCTGTCTAGAATAATATGATAAAATATAGGCAAAAGTGGTAATAAAAGCAGACACCAACCCGTACAATAGATATAAGATAGTCCAATAAGAAATAATTGTAAGAGTTACTATAAAATGGTTGTCAACTGATTTCGTAATGGAACGTTATATTGCAAAACATGGCATGATACAGAAGAAAATAAATTTTAAAATCAGTAAATAACATTGCAAATACTTCTTTTGGACAATTCAATAACTCCCAATAAACGTGTGTTGTTTAAAACACAATTTAAGTATTAACAGCTGTTTAATTCAAAAGTATTATCCACATGATCAAAATGTAAACAAATCTGTGGAGGGATCTTTAAGGGCTTCTGGGGCAGAGCCCTAATGGGATTCACTTAGTTTTTCGTTTGATAACTCATCTAGAGACCAAGACCTTTCTTTGGACACCTCTACCAAGTTTCTACGCCCAGCCGTTCTCTCAAATTAGTAGAGACAAAGTTTCCATTTAAATATTTTGATTCCCCATGTTAATCTTATGGGAGAAAACCCAACTTTGATGGAAGATATGGATTCCAAGAGATGGAAGAATATAGATTTCAGAAAACGAAAAACACTTTGCAAAACTACAGATCAGGGCAATTTTTTTGACACTTTAATCCTCAAAATCGGTCCAAAAATGAGGGAGGAGTTCTGTTTACAAAAATCGGCTTAGCGTATTATATATATAGATGTTGTTTTAGAATTTATAATCGTTATTATGGACAACCTAATGCGGCTATGAGTGGGAAACATTTGTAGGAAACACTAACAAAACAAGATCAGCTTTTGAAAAACGATAAGATATTTACGAGAAATTTTGATTATACCGAACTGTTGTGTACATCGTGAGTATTTCCATAATCTTTGAGTCGACTCTTTAAAAGTCATAGAAAATTATGACTGTTATTTGTTTTAAAATAACACCTGTAATACTTTGCAATTGCTCGAGTTCGAGCAACAGGTAGGCTACACTAGTAGGAAATTATCTCCGGTCACAATTCCTCATTTATGTCACTACAAAAGGTCCGCAGTTAACTGAGTGTCACTTAAGGTGCTTTTAAGGTTTCATACTCGGCCTGGATTTCTGGAATGTTGCCAGTGATAGCTTTCTGAAGTCTGAGATGCGTGTGCAAACAGCCGTGGTTGGGCACGCCGATAATGTTGGCTCTAATAGGTGAACTCATCATCAATGTGGCTTAGTGCTCGAGGAGCCATGTGCACCAATAATGCATGAATCACCAAGATCAAGATTCTGACCAAGAAGGAGATTGACATCATTGTGCTGTTGTAGGTATGGAATTCCTATGGCCAAACCATACTTAACCATTTGTTCTGCTAAGTAATGTGAAATAGTGAATTATAAGCTCAGCTTGTGGGGCAAGATCTTTTTAGCAATGGACAAGGCAGTCTCTTTCCTAAGTAAGCTGATGTCTTAAGTCTAGGATTCTCAGTACAGTTGCAGAAGACTGATAATGTACATGCTTCAGTCTGTACTCCTGTAAGGGCCGGCAGGCACAATCAGCAATGTGGTGTAGGGGGATGTCATTTACTCAAGTGCAGCGTCAAGCAACATACAGTAGAACCTCTTTAATCCGAACTAATTGGGACCAGGGGTAGTTCGGATTATTGAATATTTCGGATTACAGAACATATTGTTGTTTTTACATAAGAATAGCTAAAATCTGGCTAAAATGGCTCTTAATTAATTGTTACAGGAAGAGTGAAAAAATGCTTTATAAAGTATAATACAGTGTTTATTTAATACAGTAGTAAACATAGTAAATAAACAGTACTGTAAATTACAATAGAAACAATTACGGTGCGTACGTATACAATAAATAACTACTGTACTGTGTATACAGTACAGTTCAATGAGGCGTTCGTATTAGTGGACGTTTGGATTACATGGGTTCGGATTAAAGAGGTTCTACTGTATAGCATTGCATCAGTGAATTGAGGAGTGTTTGAACCAGCTATTTTGGTAGTTCAGGACTCGTCCTTGTCAAGCTCAAGCTCACTGTGGCGGAGAAGAGGGCTATCTACCGGCAGTATTAGGAGAACCTGGCAAAAGCACTCACACCACCTGATATGCAGGGGTGCTGGGAAAAGGTCAAACCATCCAGCAAATCCCACTGTAATTGGCTGTATGAAGAGGTAGATATTACCAATAGAGTTCTTAAAGGGTCATAGCTATTTTTGATTGTACCAGCTTTGGATGGGCAAAGTCACATCAACCAACTGTGAAAACTGCTCGGGCTTTCCCGAAGACCAGAACATTAATTTTTCTCTGCTTGCAACGAAATAGGCTTGCCTTGGAGGTCAAAATAAAGTAGGATCAGATTTGGTGGCTACAGTAACCACAAAATAGCAGAGGATAGGGCAAATATGTACTGGTTTGTCCAGTGTATTCTCCACGTAAAAAATTGGACCAGGTTGTGACATAAATTGAATATCTATCAGGTAGCCTATGGTGGGTGCGATACTCCCTGGTGTGGTGTAACGTTCTCACTAGTGAGTGCTGCTACGACTATCCACTGTACTATCCTGATAATTAGATCCTGATAATTTTATCATGTAAATTACAAGATAAAAATGTGGTTTGGATTCCACTTTAAACTGTAGGTCCCTTAGTTGCCATTGGATGAATGTGCTATTAATTATAGTCCTGTCTAAGGTACACCCATCCTACACTCATCTCCATTCATACTTGGCTTAAAATACCTACCTTCTTATATGCTCGTCGCCATTTCAGTTAAAAGTATTAAAAGGTATCTCCCTTAAAATGTTGACTTAACCTAAAGATAAGTTACCGGTACTGTGACAAATAATTCCAGGTCTGTGGTCCACAGAGTAGAGGAGGATTTTTAAGATTAGTTTGCTTAGTAAGAGTCTTATGTATTGAATTTTTCCCTTTCTCTTCCTTACAAAAAACTCCATAGACAATTAAGCCTATTTCAATTATTACTAAAAATACCTGAGCAGTTCCAAGTTCTATGTAGAAATTTGCTGTATCAATACCATCCAGTTTATCAAATGCATTGCCAGCAGCGATTTCACATCTGGAAAATAAAAACAGTGGCTTAAATTTAAAGTAGTAATGACAGCTAAAACGAGGGTCGTTTTTTAAGTACGGTAAGAGTTTATTTTGTGTATCGCTCTGTAGTTCGCGTGTAAACTGTAACGAGGCTCCTCGCCTCCTACTGGCACATTTGTGAACAGAACAGAATGACACCATTTGCAGCTCTGTAGCTGAATTGTATGCTACGCTGTGTGTTTTAGCGAGTTTCGCATGTAGGGAATAGGCTATTACCGTAGGTTGCGTGTCTCGTGGTAAGACCTGGACCCGGTGTCGCACTAGGCATTGTCCAATATTAGTTTAAAACTCCAACATCTATTTTGAATATTTTGCTGAGGGAGTGTATTTTATTCATTGCTGAAAGATTATTTTCTTTTCAACATTTGTTTAAATTTCCAAATAATGAGTCATTGCTGAAAGATTATTTTCTTTTCAACATTTGTTTAAATTTCCAAATAATGTGTTCATATTGTTTTAGAAAATGTAAACAAGTTTAGTTTGTTGCTTTGTTTTGTCATGAACTAAGTTCATTTTTCTTCTGTAGTAATAAATAATTCATTTTGTCATTTCTGAATTTCTTTGACTGATTTCTTTTTTATTTCTTTGGTCACAAACTGACCTTAAGTCGCAGGAGACAGAAGATTCAATAATTTTTAAAACACACAGCGAAGCGTACACGTCAGCTACAGACCTGCAAATAATGTCAATGGGTTCACAAATGATGCCAGTAAGCAGCGAGGAGCCTCATTTCGGTGTACATGCGAACTTCACTTCTATTAACAAAAAATAATAAAACTACCTTTGTAATTACATGGTAAATATCATTTTACCTTGCCAAACACTTCCCTGCTTCTCCAAAACTGCAGTCAATACTTAGATATAGGATCAACCTGCAGACCTTAGCTGAACATTGAAATCTAGTTATAATAATAATAATAACTAGTGTACATGTTGCTCGATTTCGAGCAATTGCAAAGTATTACATGAGTTATTTCAAAACGAATAGCAATCATTTTAAAAGAGTCAACTCAAAGATTACCGGTGTGTAACTCAGACCATGTTTATCTTCGTTATTGTTAACCTTAAGCATTCCGGCCGATTTTCTCCTACTCAAAATGCTTCGCTGTACAGGCAACACATGTCATTGATAGAGGGCCAATCGAGAACGAAAAGTCGTTTTGGGGTAGTGTTAGGGCGCATTTGTAACTTATAGTTGAGATTGTCCAGGGTCAGGTGCTGACTGTGATGAGTTAAGCCATAGACAAAAAGAATTCTTTTTGTCTATCGTTAAGCCTATTACGCGCCACTGTTCTGCGGTCGTTATCACGATTACACAATGTTTTTTTGTTGTCGCGTCGGAGGCATTTAAAAGAAAAAAACAACAAATAAACAAATTATAGTTACACAAAACAACGATAAAAGAACAAATTTAAGCTACACTCATGCTAACATGAACCGTCTAGGGGTTATGTTTTCACAAACTCAAATCGTAAATACATGTACTCAATGTGTTTCATTGAATTGAAAAATAAATAACAGCTGATCAAAATGTAAACAATTATGTTCTTCATAAGGATAACATGGGAACTTTAACAGCCACTGGGGCAGATCCCAAGGGACTTTTTCAAACATGTAAGGCCAGTTTGCAAATCTACGCGACACGCTCTTTCCAATGAGACGTCAATGGATAAAATCGGTTGAGAAATGGCGGAGGAGTTCAACCGACAAAGTTTCATGTAGCGTATTAATTATATAGATAATAATAATATGCCTTTATTTAAAGCGGTCTTCAGCCAAAACTGGTTTTCAAGACAACTCAAGTCACAAACAGTTTACAAGTACACAATAATTACAAACAGTGAAACTAAACTAGCTTTAAATTGGCCTTGAATTACATGACATGATTTTCATATTTCTTGGGAGGGTATTGTATACCTGGGGTCTAAAGTATGAGAACCCCTTTTTACCATCTCACGCCGCACTCTCGGCATTTCAAGCAAGCCGTCCTGCCTAGTACAGCGTTCCCTAACTGATGTTCGAGGCTTTTCAATTAGGGAGGCAAACTAGAGGACAGTGTCTTGTGAACAATTAAAACAGTTTGAAGAAAACATTGATTTTCCAAAGAGAGTACCTTAGCCTGTTTGCGATAGGCAGTTATATGATCAAACTTCCTCAGATTGAAGACAAACCTTAGGGCTCGGTTCTGCAACCTCGTAAGAAGAACTCTACTATCAAGAGTAAGACATTCACCAAACGATGGAAGTGCATAGTGAATAATAAGGAAGACTGTTGATTTGATCAATTCCAGCTTGGCATTTTCAGATAGTATCCCTCTCAAACGGTGTAAAATTCTCAACCTATTTGAAACTCTCTGACAAATGTAACTAACATGTGAGCAAAAATTGAGTTGAGAATCAATTCTGATACCTAACACCACATTCTTGGCACCACAAGAATTTGACCGTCCAGCTCTACCTTTCCAACAAGACTATTTTTAGGCTGCAAACCAGAAGACCAGAAATGAAGCAAAGTACACTTTTCAGGATTCAATTTTAGACCGTGATCGTCAGACCATTGCTTTACCCTTAGCAAGTTAGTGTTGATGAGATTGACTGCTCCATGAAAATCAAAAGGGGTGTGGGAGAGAACTAGTTGACAATCATCAGCGTAGGAATGTAAAAAGTGGAGAATTTCAGAATGCTATCGAGGTCATGGGTATACAATATGAAAAGTATTGGACCCAGACAAGTTCCCTGAGGGACCCCTACCTCTCTTTGAATCAACTCAGAGCACCTACCATTCACCTTAGTCACCTGGGATCAGTGACAAAGATATGACGAAAACCATTCGAGTGGACTCTCGTGGAATTTTAGAAACCTGAGCTTTGATATGAGCATGTCGTGATGAACAGAGTCGAAAGCATTTGAATAATCAAGTGACGCCATAAAGCTGTGCAACCCTTGGTCCTTGGCCTGAAGAAGCTCATCAGTCATATTGAGAAGAGCAGTGCAGGTGCTGAACCCTCTACGAAAACCCGATTGTGATTCTAAAAGTATGTCCGACTCCTCCAGGTAACTTACCAACTGTTCCACAACAATTTTCTCTAAGATTTTCGAACAGGCAGGCAGAATTGATATTGGGCGGAAGTGGCTACTCGTAGTTGGATTAGAGCACTTTGGGAGCGGAATCACAATGCTTTGCTTCCAACTATCAGGGAAAACTCCAGTCTCTAGTTACACATTAATGAGATGAATTATTGCTGAGAGACAATAAGGGCTAACACCTTTTAACATATCAATTGATATGCCATCAATACCAGATACCTTTGAACGTATTTTATTCACAGTTTCTATAACCTGCTCTTTGGTGACAGCACTAAATCTGAAATTATTCTCTACTTTCTCTAGTTCTGGCCCATAATGAAGCCCCTGAATGAACCTGTACCTCAGAGTCCTAAACCTAGTTCAATACAAATTCTATGAGTGGCATGAAACTAATTGTTCAATAGATCAAGGTAATGAAGTAGGAAGAAATCAGGATTTCTAAATACGGCTAGGAACTTAAATACCTGCAGCTTAAAAATTCCTACTTATAATTTTACCATTTAAATTTTGAACTAGCAATATATCAGTTGCCTAAAAACAAATAAAATTTAGTTTAGTGAATGTGTAGTTTTAAAGAATTCAAATGGGCTATTTTCAGCAAGAAAGAAAACAAACATGAAACTTTAATTTACTAAAAACAGTTTGACATGTATTAGTAACTAGCTGTACCCACGGGCTTTGCCTCGTTTAACTTCATAAGTATTCGCATGGCTCAATCACGTCCCATTAGTAATGTATTTATTATTTATATTTATTATTTCAACAGACCAGCAACTAAAAATGTGCATTTTATAATGGTGAGTGTATGGGCTGATGCGGCTTCTGCCAGTAGGGAGTGGGGAAGCTAGACCGTGTGGTCAACACTGAGCCAGCGATCCATGAGTTGTTATCGTTCAATATAAATAAGCCTAAAAGATTTGCTGATACAATAAGTGGTATGCTTGCTTGTATAAATACAGTGATAGAGAACAGACGCACACACAAAATTAAAAGCAGCTAGGAGTAAGGTGAACTGTACTTAAACGCTTAAAAACCATCTTCAGTTACCAAAATATACAAGGTATTTTGAACAAAATAATGCTAGTTTTAACATCTCCTAGGCTCATTTTAAATCTACCCGACATGCCGTTAACCCTACTTCTAACCAGCAGCATTTGCACGGACACGGGTGCACCTTTCACATTACGCCAACACTGGCAATCCGACAGTGTTACTCCATCTTGTGAAATTTGTCGAAATGGAACGTAATAGAGCAATTGCAATGTTACTTTGAGATTACTTTTATTGAAACATCATTTATATTGCATTAATGTTTTATTTGATTCAATTTGAATTTAATATTTTATATCATAAAATGATAAAATGAAATTGGGTAAAAATTCAATTCTTTTCATGAACAAAATTAACACTTGTAAGTAGTTGGCTTCAAGGTCTTTTTCCGACATGAAAAATTCTTTGCGAACAAATAAACAATCGTAGGCCTAATACGCAAAACTACAAACAACTAAACTAAATGTACACAAGGTTCAGACGACAAACAACAGGTGCCGGTTGTATGTGGTAACAGTGGTAAGGTCCCATATACTTCTTCACCCCATTGCCGGTTAAACAACTACCGGCACCCGACAGCCGGGTAGATGTGAAATAGGCCTTTGAAACAAGCTGATGGAGTGAAGCTGCAATGACGTCTGTCGAGCTGGTACAGGTTAAGAAAGCCAATTACACAGTGGTAGAGACAGCTCATGATTAAATAATCACTGGTTTAGACGATAAAATTTACCAGTACTACTGGCTAACCAAGTGCAAATGGTTGAGAAAATTAAAATACTTACGAAGGGAATCTTTCAGTCATGTCATGGCACCAAACCATGAAGCCCAGTGTGATCATCAGAGCTGCAGCTACAGTCATAGCACATAGCATCAGACTTGCCACCACATCCACGAAGGCGGAGAGGAAGGAGCTGACACATGATCATATTAGTTGTATAATCATAAATAATTCTGTTATAAAAAAAACAGTACAGATTATACTGTAATTTTACAATTGTTTTTATATATGTACCATACACACAAAATCATTCCCAAATCTATGTTTTTTTACATTTAGTGTTAATTTTATCCATTTTATGGATTGTGTGTTAAGTTTATCCATTGTTGTACAGGCCACACCCAAAGTTGCCTTTTAGCGAATTTCTTAATAGGGAAGTAGCTATTACCGTAGGTCTCATGGTAAGACCTAGGCCCGGGACCGATTTACTTTTTCATTTTGATGTCCCCAGAGGCCAAAAACACCATTCTTTCAAATTTGTATATATGTAGCCTATATCTATATCTTTATATGTGCCCATCCGCACGATAACTTGAGTAATTTTTGTCCGATTTTGATAAAATTTGGTTTGAAGGTGTAAGGCGGGATAAACTTGAATGAGTTCGCGAACCAGCATGATCGGACTATGGGAATGGGGTTTTATGGGGTAAAAATAGGTTTTTCCCATTTTTGACCCTAATAACACAAAATTTCACAATTTCTTTCCAAACCATTTTTTAGAGCTTAAAAAAAATAATTTAGAATATTGAAGCGTTGTTATGCGCCTAATTGTTACGGAGAAAGTTCCAAAGAAATTTTAATTTTAAAATTCCCATGTTATTCTTATGGAGAATAAGTCAACTGTTGTAGTTTGCTTGTTTATGAACATATTTTGATCAAATTTGGAAAATACATTACTTTCTTACTAAACTACAGTAGGTACCTTTTAACATTTTATATAAAAAAAAAACTTATTTACCTTCCCTGTTGCAGCAAACCTAAGTACTCGTTAAACTAATTCTGTTTAAATAGGGAATAAATGTGATATTTCTTAGGAGACATTTTAATGTAAATCCAATCAGGCAAATATAAATTCGCTAAGTCTGCAGGTTTGCTGCGGCGGGGGTATATTTCATAATCTATATTATCAATACATGTAACTTTGTGAACAATAAGGCTTTTTGTTTTAAGATTCAACCCCATATATTATATACCTACCAAAATGTTCGTCTAGGTGGGTAGATTTGCAAACTGACCTTACATTTTTTTTAAAGTCCCTTGGGCTCTGCCCCAGTGGTTTTTAAAGTTCCCATGTTATCCTTTTGAAGAACATATTTGTTTACATGTGATCAGCTGGATAGTTTAATTGCTGTTAATATTTTAGTTGCAATTTAAGGAAACGTGTGCTAAAAACATTTACTGACTTGGTTGAAATGAAAAATTTACTATTTGAATTTGGGTTGACGTAAATATTTCTATAGAAAAAATCGAGAAAGCCTGGATAATTTGATAGGGTACTAAAAAGAAAACTGAATTCACTGTGCTGCATTTCTTGAGCAATCATTGAAAGAGCCAATTTGCAAATTATGGAAACATAGGAAAATCATAGAACACTACCAAATAGAAGAAATGGAAATAATGTTGTTTCTTAGAATTTATAATCGTTATTGTGTATAACCTAATGCGGCTATGAGTGGGGAACATTAGTAGAAAACACTAAAAAACAAGATCAGCTTATGAAAAATGATAAGATATTTACAAGAAATGTTGGTTGTATCGAACTGTTGTGTACATCGTGAGTATTTCCATAATCTTTGAGTCGGCTCTTTAAAATTTATCGGAAATTATGACTGTTTATGTTTTTAAAATAACACCTGTAATAATTCCCAATTGCTCAAATTCGAGCAACAGGTGCACTAGAATTTTCTTAATACAGTTTAGACTCCCTCTTATCCGGACACCTTTTAACTGGACTACACTTGGCGAAAATGACAGACATCTCTTTAACCGGACAATTTTTATCCGCACATCGGTTTAACCGAACTAGATTGGCAGGAAGTGGGCGGTACTGAAATGACTGTTCTCGTGGGAAAGATTTGAGACCAGTGATCACGTGATTAAATATGTAATAATCATTACAGTAAAACCCCTCATATCCGGCCACCACGGGACCAAGCCCCTGGCCGGATAGCGATTTGGCCGGATAAACCAACCTACTACAAAAATGAAAATGATTCATAGGTACCTATAATAATATTTAATCAAAACATGCTGTCAAAAGTATCATTTAAGTCTATTCTAGGATTATTTTTTAAAGAATTAACATGTTTGTACAAATAAAAAAAATTATTTGTAGGCTAAAGATTTCAGGTAACAAAAACTATTAAACGATGGAGGTAAAAGTTACATTAAATCAGCCTTGAAGATTTTTAGGACCTTAATAGTAAATACAATTCTACTCAACTTTCTTATCCTTTTTGTGAAATAAATACAAAGATTAATTTCCCAACCCCCAACTTTTTAGAGGTTAGGCCTAGTTCAACTGAGTTTAGTAACACAGTAAAATGTGTTTGAAACAATCAGATAAATAGTTCAGATAAATAGTTTAGCTCAAACAAGTCGCAAAGACTAGTGCTTGCATCTAAACGTCTGTAAGCTTTGAGAAAAACATTTTGATATTGGCTTCCTGGAAGTGGCCGGATTAACAGAGGACCGGAAAAACCAAGGCCGGATATCAGGGGTTCTACTGTATTGGCTATACATCAAAACGGTCCGTTTTAACAAGTTTTTGAGGACGTCGGTTTAACCGGAAAAACCGTTATCCGGACTGGCCTCGGTCCCAAGGAGTCCGGATAAGAGGAAGTCTACTGTATTTTACTTAAATTTTATTCAATCCCAAGAATCCTGCAAGTGAAAATCAATATTTTATTTCAGATAGTGCTAAAAATCAGATACAATGCCAGTTAAAAACTTGCTAAGATTCTATTGGAGACAGTGTGTGATGGTTATGTACACATACTCAATGGCAATAAATTTGAATGTGGTATAACATCCTTAATTCTGTAAGACAAAATTTTTACCAGAAAATTGTGGACGACTGGTAATTTGCAGAAAAGTGTGAGGGGTCTTAAATTAAAGGTCTTGACTCCAGGGACTCTGGGAAAATAGCAGACTTTCCATAAAGTTACCAGAAAACGAGTTATATAACGTAAAATGCTCTCCATGAGAATATCATTAGAAGCCATTTACTGCTGAATTTTGTTTACTTCAATACAGCTGATCGTGATTTACTGGATTCCTTATTTGCCGGTCAACTCTGCAATGTACTATATAAAACCAGGGATAACGCTCCCTATGATAACTAAGACTGTTTACTTGCGTTAGAGAATGTGGAAATAAATTATTTTACTGTGGAACTTTTCAAGTTAGTGTATTTTTAACGTTTAACATGAAATAACCACATTGACTAAATAATTAACGATTCAAGATTAAATGGAAAACTTCTGCTTTGTTTTTATTTCAAAACATGTTCTAGATTCAGTCTACACTTTCATTATTTTAAATTTGATATTTTTACTGTAGTGTTTAATCAATATTTTGTAGGAAGTGGAATAACCTCAACGGTTACTCTTATAAAATAACCTGGGAATAAAGAAGAATAGGTTCGTACAGGAAATATATATTTGTTAATTAAGTAAGTACTATGATAAGTTCCAATGGGAGGAAAAACAATTTTGTTTGGAGATTTTCAGGTACTGTCTGTTGCTCACAAAAGAGTTAAGAATCAGCCGATGATTGGGCCTAATTTGATAGAATATGTAACGTCAATCGCACCTTTAAGAGGAATACCACCACATACACTTACACTAATTGTAGTTTTTTATGTTGATCAGAAAAAATCTAGGGTTAAGTTTGGTCAATGGGATGCCTTTACTTTACACTACTGTAATGTTGTTAAACAAACCTTAACAACACTATTAATAATGTAGTGATTTAAATGATTTATTGAAAATGACATCAACAAAGGCAAACAAAGACAAACAACAAACTGTTTTAACGCCAAAAGATATGGATACAGGGATATTTATTCTAACACATAGATCATATATTTCTTAGTTTGTTTAAATATTAGAATGATTTGTTTTGTATTTTATTGAGCTTTTTAGGGACTTATGTCCCTACAAGCCCCTATACTAATGCATAATTTGAAAAATCTGTTAGAAAAAAATAATAAAATTGTGAAAGTAGTATTTTTTATGATGAACTTGTGATCATCACACAGTTACGTCTTTGAATAAAAACATATACCCAAATGTCTCCTAGTTTCCTGGACCTCACATAGGTTTGACTTTTCACATGAAATGAGAAAAAATTTGAAAATCACATTAACTTTATGTAGACATAAATGTTAACCATAGTAATGTTTATTTTTAAATAAAGAGTTGAACAGGCATGAACCATTTACTAAAAAAAAACTCACCTATCAGTTTCCTTGTATAAAAACATTGACATTCTATATATCTGGACAACAGACACCACTGATAGGAGAAATCCCACAAATATAGTGTAGTTGCAATATGCTTGAGATGCCCAGTTGACAGCCAGTTGTCCTTCATCCGTCCAGGTTCCATTCGAGAAAAGCAGACAGTGACCCCTACAAACAATCAACAGACCACTTTTTTATAGTTTTGTTGAATTTAATGTATAATACTAGTTAAATGTACTCACCAGGGTATAAAGACATACCAGAACGGATTTTCTTTGCCTACAAACCAAAACGTTGGAGTGTATGGCCCGGAATTGTACCCCCTCATAATACTCTGATATTATTATGCTCGAGTGGTTTGATTAAATCCACCGACATCTAAAAAACCCCATATGGGCCAGAATTGTACCCCTCCCCATTTGGACTCACGCTTATTTGATCAGTGCATGGAGTGGAATTGTACACCCTGTCAGTGTAGCCTTCCTTCTAGGACCGGAATTGTACCCCCCTGGAATTATACCCCCTCTTGTACGCAGTAGATAATGTACGGCCCGGAATTGTACCCCTCATATGATGCGAGGCGACAGCAAAACATCACTTACCGGGCTAGTAACGTTACATTATATACTATTGTTATCTTTTTATCCGTTTTTTATATTGTATATGGGATTAAAGTAGAAGGCCTACTTACGACGTTTCAGAATTGACTTAGGGCTTTGTCCTATAAATTTTCAAAGTTTAAAGATGAGTACAGTCATAGATAAAACAGGGTCGCCGGAATTTTACCCCCTGGGCAAAGCTGATGTCGCTATGACGTAGTAACCTGAGTGGCCAAAAGTTTGTTTGCGGCCGGAATTTTACCCCCGCGATTTTGGAAGTCTAATGAAAATAGCCAGAGCGTGATTATTAGTGATAAAAACCGGAATTTTACCCCCTGTCCATATAACTAGCGTTTAGACAAGATGTACGGGCTGGATTTTTACCCCCGGAATTTTACCCGGGATTTTTACCCCCCGGAATTTTACCCCCGGATTTTTACCCCCTGGCCGATTTTAGAAATTGAATGATTGTTTTTCTTATTTCTGTTTTTAATTAATTGTAAACATTTTACTATTTAGTCGCCTATCTTTATTTATTCATTTTGTAATCTCAACTGAGTTAACAGAATTAGCTGTTTGATTTTGATGTTCAAGATTTGCGTTTGGGGCCAACTGTTGGTTAATAAGTATGTAAAATAAACTGAGTACAGGTAGCTAATTTAAATGATAATTGGGTGAACATTTCTTCGTAAAGAAACAATAAGGCATATTTTGTTATTGTTACAATACAAACGAAAAACATTGTTTTACCACAGTTGTATAATAAATCGTTAAAGAAATCTTCGAATCAATTAGGGCCTACCATTTTGATGTTTGTTTATACGTCATATTAATCAACAGTTGGCTTCAGAGATCGAATCCTGATACTCGAATTTCAAAATTAAAATCAAAAACCTGTTCTATTAGTTGTTGTTTCAAATAAATTAAGATACGCTACTTAATAATAAAATGTTTAAATTAAAACAGAATGAAGATAATTAATCATGCTCACTAATTTATATATCTGGCCAGGGGGTAAAATTACGGGGGGTAAAATTCGGGGGGGGTAAAATTCCGGGGGGTAAAATTCCGGGGGTAAAAATTCGGGGGTAAAAATCCGGGGGTAAAAATCCGGGGGGTAAAATTCCGGGGGCGTAAAAATCCGGGCCGTACACTCTAGGTTTTTCTAATTTGACGTGTTCTGATTAAATTCACAACCGTGAAAATATATGTTTAATTCCGCGTTTAAGTTAATCCATCGAGCTGATGTCGCGAAACTCAAAAGTTCGCGGCCGGAATTTTACCCCCTGGTTTGTGACGTCACGTTTGCCCAAGGGGTAAAATTCCAGGGGATTAAAAATCCGCTACCCCATAAAACATAGTCCCTCAGTAGATTTCCCATCCATCAATTTGGATTGTAGTGCCTAATAAGCTCTTCCAGATACGCTGCAATCTCATGGTTACTTGTTAGCCTGGCTCTCTATAAAAAAAAGCCAATTTGATTGTTCTGTCCGGTTTTCTGTAGATGTTGTGTTTTGCTTACAATTTTTTTCCGGTTATTTCAGTAATTTAAACCCTCGTTTAACGAAATAATACTATCTAATCATAAACAATACCTCGTCCACTAGCTATATAACCAAACAGCTAGACACAAATAATGAGAAACTAACCCTAAAATAATATAAACAAATAGTAAAAAAAAAACAACATCTACAGAAAACCGGACAGAACTAACAATAAAATTGGCTTCAGCTGTTCTACAAGAATGGGAAATCTACTAAGTGGCTATGTTTATCTATGCTACAGTAAGGTAAATTCAGGGAAGAAATGTTAATAAAATAACACTGATTTAAAATAATGTAGGCCTAATTGGGTTGTTCAAGGTTAAAGTTAAAATATATATATATATATATTCTCTATTTTCTGTACAGGCTCAAAAATTGCTCCAACATATTATGTCACCTTAGAAGGCATTCGCTACTAACTTATTTCATTTTAATGACCATTTCAATTTACTGAAAGACGATTGGAGATGTTACTTACAAGGAGGGGGTGCAATTCCAGACCGTACACAAGCCAATACTCTTTTTTGCTTCATCCGATACCTTATGTTTTCCAATGTTAGTGATTCTTAGATTTAGGTGTTCACTTTTGGCTTCAAATCTTAAAATATCTATTGGTCGACTGCTGTCGTTTAGGTCCTCTAATTTACCACTCAAAACTTTCAAGCTTGTTTCTATGTAATTAAATTCCTCATGTAGGCTATTACTAACTTGTTGCTCAAATATTTGACATCACTATCTACCTGGTTTCTTATCAACTGTCTTAACTTTTTTCTCAAAACTGAACTTGTACTCCTAACATCTGGCTCAAAGTTTCTTAATTTTAACTCATACTCTAATTAACTCTTAGACAACAAGTCTATCTTAGAACCCACCTTCATATTTATACTTCCAAACTTCTTACGGTATTTCAATTGTCTTAAGTCCAATCTTTAATGAAGAGTAAATTAATCCTGGATAGTAAAACTAAGCAAAAGGCCCAGTCAGCAGAGTGGCGCAATTTTTGTAACATTATTTCCAAGATCAATTATTTTTCATTTTGTGCAATTGGCCTAAAGAGGAGACCCAAAATAAAAGTTCATCATTGTTACAAAAGTCATGGTTTATTTCAAATAAAACAGTTTCTTCTAAAACACTTTCTACAACAACTTTAAGAGCCCGAAATCAAACTGAAATTAATTACTTCCATTAGTTTTTGGAATATCAAAAAAATTTACACATTTAAAACATTCGGCTAAGATTTTTATAACACATTTTACAACAATTAATTCCTGGTACACACTTGAGCCTACTCATTGAGTAGGCTGCAGAAATTCACCCCAGGTCTGGACCCTGTACATTTACACTCTTGAATTAACAATCCCACATGGAAGCAGGCTCCCTTATATAGGATATCTCAGTTCTGGAACCTTCTACCCCTACTCCGGCTAGCACTTGCACTGGACCAGGTGATAAGGAAGCTTCCAGAGCTTTTTACGTCTTGCTACTGCAGGCTACTCCTGACTATTGTGAATGTAAAACTTTAATTTGAAAGCCTTATAACAAAAAATAAAATAAAATTTATTTTCTCAAATTTCTATCTGAAATCAAACCATGTTACAACATTTAGATTAGATTCCGTTAAAATCCAAGTGTATGGGGTGGAATCGTGGACCCCCTCTAGGTGTGATGTCAATATGACGTTGATACAATATGCTTTCAGATGACATTTTAGGAATATTGCATGCATTATTCCCAGGGAATATTCCCTCAGTTTTGAATTCCCAGGAATTTTACATCACTTTCGCTTGGAACATGTAAACTGCCCCCCCCCCCCCCCCCAAAAAAAAATGAAACACAAAAGGTAGGAACTTACAATTCTATCTTGTATGCTAAGTTTACCATAAGTTAATATATACGGTAGCCTTGAGTAAAACCTTATTTCTAATTTTTCGGTCTGCAGCTCCCTGAGACCTACGGCCCCTAGGCAGATGTCTATGATCGTGCCTAATGGGTCCCAATACAACACTGCTTAAGTATAGGCCTAGGCTCTAATGTATGTATTAGGTTAGGCCCTACTGACATTAAGACCAAATTTGCTACAGTGGGCCTAAGCTAATTAAGTTACCGGGTACACTTCCATATCTGTTGGCACAAACAACCGAATGAAAATATCAATCGATTGTTCGATATATCGTTTGGTTAGTTAGGTAAGGTTAACCTAACCTAACTAACCAAACGATATATCAAATTAAACAATCGAATAACCAATATTACTCATTCGGTTTTTTGTGCCAACAGATATGGAAGTGTACCCAAGTTACCTAAGTTAGTTGAACGAAAATAAATTTGAAATTGCAAGATGAAAAAGATTTTAACTTAAAATAAGACTTTAACTCTATTTGAAATGTAGTGCACAGTTATAGATCCAAACCTTGCCACAGGTGCATTTTACTACTTACCTAAACTCTTGTTGATGAAAACTCATTGGTATTGTAACGCATAATGATAATATAAAGGCAATAACATAAGCTGACAGTTGACTGATCAGCAACAGATTGTTGAGTGTCATGACTAAATGTTTTATAGGGGCCTAGCTAATTATAATTTGTGCAGAAAGATCTATCCCTATGGAAATGATTTATAACTGATACTATGGGCTATGACAAGGTTCTTCCAAGAACCGTCCAAAGAGAGATTCTCAACTCTTTTGCGCCTAAAGTGTAGAAGAGATTGATAATTCACCATTAAGAAATCGACAGACAAGCGACTAGCCCTGGAACCAGTAATCCATCCATTTCTACTCCCAGCCTATTTTTTTTATTATTATTATCACCGGATTAAAAACAGAAAACAAAAACTAATCAAAACTACACATCGAAAAACTAAAACAGCATTCGTCTAATAAGTTGACACTCGACACTGACACTGACAGTTCTGTAGAACGAAACTAAACTAACACACAATCACAAACAAAAACATTAACCAGCTGCAAATTTAAATCATTATTTATCCACTTGTAGGAGTAAAAATAATTAGACCATGCAGCTCTAGAGTTTACGGGCATACGGCTGATTCTAGCCATAGATTAATAATACTACATATAGACAATTTTTTATTTGTTCATTTTTTCAACAGATTACCGCAGAAAAATATGGGTTATTTGTTTTCATCAAAACATTACATAAGTCATTGGGAAGACGTCTCATTTAATGAAATTTTATACCATTTCCTTTTAGCGAATTTCCCATATAGGGAATAAAAAGCCACGAATACTATTAAAATACCGGTATGGATCATAAACATAAACAAAATGACGTTTTTGGCCCGAATCCTTTGGCTAATGGCATAAACATAAGGTTTAGACGGCTCCATTATTTAAACAATGTTAAATAATGTTTACTTTCCGGCCAAAAACGTCATTTAATGTCAACAACCACAGTAGCTCAAAGGTAAGGGGTTCACAGTCTGAAGGTCCCAGGTTCAAGACCCGGTGGGGGAAGATTATTTTGATTCTAGTTTATTCTCAAAATTTGTTTTTATAAACTATTAAAACTATTATTAAACTATTAACTATTAACTATTAACTGTTAAACTATTATTTTACAGTACTAATGCTCAACTGATATATATGCATTTCATACAAAATCTTATACTTCGTGTTTAGGATATGCCCATGGGATGGTTGCTGGCCCTGTGAAAACAATTTTTAACTTGTTGCAAAGTTAATTTTAAAATTGTTGTAAAATTGTTGCAATGTAGTTGTAAAACAATTTTTGAACTATTTTAAATTTTGCCGGTTGTCAACTATATTAATAACAGTTTTAATAAGTTTAAAATTTATATTAAAACAATTTTTTTCTCGTTTTTCTGCTACTTTGGGCTACTTTGTATGGTCACCATTAAAAAAGAAAGTATTAAAGTAAAGACTGGATGGAAGATCATTGAGATTAAAAAGAGCAGATGGCCCAAGACTGAGCCTTTGTGGTCCCCCACCAGTTGCTAATGGCAATCGTGGACCACCGACCCTACTGCAAACCATCTGTCTTTGGTAAAGATGTGTCTTCAGCAGTTTTAAAGCATTAATTCGGACATATATAAAACTCCAACTTATTTAACAGGACATCATGGTCGTCATAGTCCGCAAACGCTTTGCTGAGATCAATGAAGGTTGCCCAGACATATTCTTTTTTTTCAAAGGCGTTCACTATGTCATGAACCATCAACCATAAAAAACCTATTGCATCCGCAAAGTGGACTATCCACTTCAAAAACCAAATTGATGTTTGTTGAAAAATGAGTTTATTTCAAAAAAGTTAGTCAACTGATCGTATGCTACATGCATATCACCTTGGACAGCACAGGCACTATATTCGTGGGTACTAAAGGCGGCCGTGGTACTATTGGCCGATAGCTGCTTAGGCTGTATCTATTCCCTTTTTTTGAAAATTGGACACATTTTGGAAATTTATATATTTATATATGAATTTGAACAAATAGTGGTTTTGGCCTGTGGGGACCTTAAGAATAAAAAGTTAAATCGATCGAGGGCTCAGGTCTCGTCATGAGACATACGGTAAGAGTAAGAACTTGTTTCCCATGGGCAATTCGCTAAAACAAAAAACCTTTTAATCAGAGCTAAAGATTAAGCTTTTAGTCTAGCCTGCAAGCAGACAAGAAAAAATAGAGAATTCCCGCTTTTGACTCTTGGACTTGACTTGAGCTTCTGCTTGAGCTTGAGCTTTGAGAGAGACTCTTGAGAGACTTGAGACCTGACTTGACGTTTCATTTTTGTTTATTATTTTGTTTTGATCATGACAAAAGCAAAAGAAAGATATAACCATTTTAACCAAAAGTAAAGTGAGTTAAGTGTCAGTGTTAAGTGAGTATACTTAAGAGTCAGATAATGGTAAAATAAATTATCAAAATAAAATACAAATTTCACACCAGGTCCTAGGCCCTATTACACTTGCTTGGATCAGTAATTGAAGACAAAGACAAAAGTGTACAGTACAACGCAGTCAGTAAGTAAGTAAGTTAGGCTATGATATGAAAACGACAAAAAATAACCAGGCCTAATGTCCACTACTTATTCTATTGTTTGTTTGCATTAAGTTAGGCCTCGGCCTAGGCCTATATTAGGCTATTGCTAAATTTCATTCGTAATTCATCTCCAAGGGTACAGTTTCTTAACTGGGCTATGCTAATATCAGTAATTATTTACTTGAGGGTGATCAAGCGTTCTATAGTAAGTTATATAGGCTACCTATCATTAGAAACTAGATTTTTACCTGAAAATAATGGTGCAAAATTTTTTCTGCTGCCACAAAAACTGAATTTACTACGATTTTTTGAAGTGTATTATGTTTTATTAGGAACATTGAATCAGCACTAGCCAACAATGTTTACAATGTAAAATCGAAGTTAATAAGCACAATTCACATTGAAATCGATTGTGTGAAGCTACTAGTAACTCACCAATAAAAATAGTGGAATGCACGCCAGTACCCCATATGGTGTCTAGTGATGGTACTATATCAGGACAATAGGCCCGCGTAGCGTACGACCATCGTCATAACCTAGGAACGCAATTAGTGTTCCGACTTGGAGTACGGGGCTTAGCTCACAAATGGGTGTCATCCTTTCTTCAAGGAAAAAATCAGTCCGGATACCCTTTGTTGACTCCCAAGGAATTCGTAATCATGCTACCTCTGCTTCGTCTGTTATTATTCGGGGATTTCCCCAGGGTTCTATATCGGCCCAATCCTGTTTTTGCTCTTCATTAATGACCTGCCTTCTTTTGTATCAAATAATCCAGGTTCAAATGTAGATATGCTGTTTATATGCCGACGACACCTCACTTTGTGTCTCAACTAAAGACGTCACGGCTCATCTAGAGACAATAGCATTTGAGAGTTCCAATAGAGCTTTGCAATGGTTCCAAAACAACAAACTTCTTTTAAACTGCAATAAAACAAAAATGCTCCAATAAGTTACCATATTAGGGCCTAACAGCTCAAAAAAAGCAAGTCCCACTGACTGTTTTGATAGGTGACGAAGAGATATGTTCTTGCAGTAATGCTAAGTTTCTTAGTTTGGTCTTAGACAGACAGCTCAACTTTCATGACCATATAGAGCAAATATCCAGAAGAATTAGAACTGGAATTTTTGTGATCAAAGGTCTTTCGAAGTTTACCGATTCTCGTGTAACCTTGAGTGCCTATTATGGACTGATTTACCCATTATTGTCGTAGCCTATTTGGTGCCAGTTTGAAGCTGTGAGAGCGTACGAACAAAGTTTGTGTTCCGTCTTTAAAAAAAGCCCTAAGAGAAGCCTTCAGAATATCCGATCGTACTTCTTGCAAGCCTCTCTTCAAGGAATACAATATTCTCACATTTCCATCCATATACATACTGAGTTGTCTATTGTTTTTAAAAAGAAATGATCATCTGTATCAACCGCAGTTCCATTCAATGCAGTACACTCTCAGAAAAAAAAAAAAAAAAAAAAAAAAAAAAAAAAAAACAATACTAAGCTACCTAAGCAGGACAAGTTTCTTTGAGAGACACCTTATAATAGTAGGCCTATCAGGTTTTTCAATGTGTTGCCTGAACCCCTGAAAGTGGAGCAAGACAAAGACAAATTTGGGAGAGCAGTCAAACGCATACTCTTAGAACAAGCTCCCTACACTGTGAAAGATTTTTTAAGTTGCCGATCGAATTAAGATACTGTTCAGTTACGTTTTAGTTCTAACAGCATTTATAATTTAGTTTTATTATAATATATTCTTGTGACGCTATTATACAGTTTTTTCTGTTCAAAATAAAGATGATTTGATTTTATTTGAGTGTCAACCATTAAGTTATAAGGGATGAGAAGTGACAAAGTGTTCGTGCTAAAATTTATTGACGGCAATATTCCGAGACAATAGGCCTATGTCAATGAATACAAATGCTTTAAGAAGCAAAATGCTTATGGATAATAGTCAGACATGCCGAAATGAGATTTGCGCGGCCACCAATAGGATCGCTTGCGAGGCGGCCACGGTACTCTATCCCTCTCTCTCTCTAAGCTGATTCTTTGTCTTAGGCTACTCTCTCTCACTCGGTCAGCTAACTTCGCAGCGCGATCGCGATAGTCTTTTCCCAGACTGAATTTTTAACAAAGGCATTGCACTTCTTAAATGGTCTGTATTCATTGCCCACGTACAGTGATCACTGTATCAATACAACATAGTCACGTGATGTTCACAAATGTACAACAGATGTACAACAAAGGACATGTTCACACATAGCAGAGTGACTTGACAAACTTCAAAGACTTGACAAACTCTGTTGTATGCAATGGGCTAAACAATAAGAGGGTAATTCCTACAATAAGTTATAGGTGCCTTAAGCCTGTAAGGATGGGACGGCAAAAGTTGTCTTGAAGTAGCTACCCAGCCACCACCGTGTATAGTAATATCACATGGAACCACACAGTTTCAGAGTAGGCCTACTCGCTCATTCCTTCAGGATAGTTGGATAACCAAAGACTGGATAGCCTAGTCATATTATCAGACAAACTAATCTGCAGGTTTTATTTTTTTTAACAAGGCATAAGTTAAGTAGGATACTGTAGGCCTACACATATCTTGAAATATTATTGACCCTCTTCCAAATACTTAGTTTCTTGGAGATTTATATCTCTTTTGTACCCTCGTAAATTAAACTAAATTAGGTGCCTAACAACATCTGTGCATTTCAGTCAAGACAATGATTCGTGGAGCTCTGATTGTGGTAGAAGGCTGTGACCGATCTGGTAAAACAACGCAATGCAAGAAGCTTGTTAACCTTTTGAAGAATATAGACATCCCGGCAGAATACATGAACTTTCCTGGTAAGCCACGTCTGGTTTTGACCTAGGTTAAAGACTGTATATACTAGATAAGCTTAATCCTCATTTATATTTCTGCAGTAGGGTAAATAAAGCTTTTTAAAATAAAGGGGAGATTTTCTCAAAATTAAAATTTGTATGGGTCAAATGGCTGTGAGCTTACGAATTTTCATATTTTGTGATAATTTTACGTGTGTTTTCCATTATTTGTAACCACAATTGTAATAAACAAACATTCCTTATACAACTCTGTAACTTACTGACACGTAGGACATCCTTATATATATAATAGGTGAAGGCGATTTCTACGAAACACTAGGATACTCCTCCGTTAATAATGTCAAAATTAAGTATTTTTTGTGTAGACACCCCCTTTCACCAATTCATGTATTAAAAGTCCTCGGGCTTTGCCCCACAGGCCATCAAAATCCCAATGTATTTCTTATGAAGAAAATATTTTGTTTACTTAAACAGACAAATAATTTGTCTTAATTACAGCTGTTCATAGTAAACACATGATACACACAAGAGAGATCGTTTACAGAGTGAGTTGTTTTCAGTTTCGATAACTGTAGTGGAGTGATTGATTAGGCCTACACATTATCTTTGAGTTTACTCTTTTAAGTCATCGAAAATTATGATTGTTATTCGTTTTGAAATAACGCATGTAATTCTTTGCAATTGCTCGAATTCGAGCAACAGGTGCACTAGTATTATAAGTTGCTTGATTTCTTAAATTCTCAATTAAAGTGAAAGGCTTAGAAAATGTATAGAAACTAGGAGCTTCTTCTGTAGCAAATCTATATCATTAAAAGAATTTGTTGAAATTTTTTATGTGCAACAAATCGACCCCTTAACCCTCCAAAGGTCCATAGTTTAGGCCTTAATGTCCACCTATTTTTGGCCCCTTTGCAAGGTTTTATTAAAACGGATCTGAGAAGCTTAAAACAATGTTAATTCTAATGTTCTATATACCATTTTGTTTGGAAAATCATGGGCTTCAATATTATATATAAAACATAAAGAACATTAAAAAAAAAAAAATTTTAGGTAAAAAAAATATAATTTCGAAAATTTTCAAAAAAAAATAAGTTCGCGCTCAATGAAATTGTATAAATTATAGGCCTATAAATATTTTAAAACAGCCACTTTGTTCTAAATTTAATGAGGATTACAAATATATAATCATATAGCGAGGTAAGTTATCAAATAAATAAGTTATGAGCGAAAAACGGATTTCAGTACATAGCGTTTAGCTAAGAATGCATAGCCTAACCATAGCTAGGAATCTGGCTGATAATTTACATCAATATCACTACCTACTTCTTCAGGATCATCAACCAGCACTTCAAAACCACTTAAATCTTCTTATAATGCACCACGTATATCACTACTTTTGATTTTTAACACTAAAACAATGATAAACATAATAAAACACATCAGTCATCGGTCCGAGGTTAAGTAACCTGTTTACTAATATGCACGTCAGCTGTCTGCTACAATTACGATCGGCTCAGAGAACAAACAGCGCTTAGAGACAGACCTTTAGAAAGCTTAGAATCTAATGAAAAGAACGATACCTAACTCGATCCAGTTCAATCCGATTCAGTCAGTCATAGAGCCTTCGCCGTAAACGATGTTCGTGCGTCTAAAAATAGACGCGTGACACTACACAAAGTGTGTTATGCGTCTATTTTTAGAAGCGTGACCTTCGGAGGGCTAATATTTATTTTTTTAGGCTTATTGGGTATTAATTTAAAGCTCTTACCCTCTAGATGTGTCTTTTGCTGGTTTGGATGATATCCCGTTAAAGCCATTTGTTCTATAGGCTTTTAAATTTCAGAGTTTGTGCTGAATTATGTTGTCATTCATCTTTACAAAGACATTAAGTGAAATCAAGAAATGTTACGGACAAGCCTTTTATGAGGCTTATGTAGCTTAGTGTTATAATGCCCTTTTGTCATTGTGTTGTTATTGAATAAATAAATTTAATTGAATTGAATCTAAACTTTTTCAAGTTCCGTTTACATTTTGTTTACATCCATACAAACATGGGATTATCTTACAGCTGGTGGTGTTTTAGTGAATTCAAGGAAAATATTGTAATGTTATTTGTACAAAATATAAAGAAGAAAAAAACTTACATTAGATTTTGTGTTGTGATAGGATTTTGTGTTTTCATACTATGTTTTATTGATGTTTTAATGAATCCAAGTAAAATATTGTAATATTATCTGTTTAAATAAATACATTATGGCTATGTGAGGACATACATTAACATCACCTCAGCTTCGCTGACAATTACTCATACTATACACAATTTCCAGTAGGTCTGAATAGAAACTCCTATTAACGCCTATTAAGGCTTTTTTTCATAGGATTTTTTTTCAACTATATGTTAAACTATTATTATTAAATAACGACAGCCACCTATCGTCTCTTATAAGGGCTTTTAACAAGTGTGCAATGATTACTACTGAGGTGTGTACAAAGTGCTTTGAAGTTAAATATTTTGTTTTTAGGGTGGAAGGTAGGGCTTGAGCCATTTTTGATCCAAGTCGCTTCACACCTGGCTGCGCCACTGGCCCTCTATAAAAAAGTCCTCAACCAGTTAACACGTTACACAGCTGCACATTTTGATGTGTGTTTTTCTATGCATTATATACAAAATATATATATATATTTGCAGTGTTGGGAAGTAGCGCGCTACAAGTAGCGACGCTACAGTAGCGCGCTACTTTTTTTGTAGCGTTAGCTGTAGCGTCGCTACTTTTAAGATTTTATAGCTTTAGCTGTAGCTAGCTACATTTTTAAAGTAGTTGTAGCGGAATTTTAGCTACTTTTCTCGCTACATTAACATTGGTTGAGATAGGGTCAATCCATTTCAAGTGGTCCAAAGGTAGTTGCTTCAAGATTTTTAATTTTTTTTATATTTTTATCCTTGAAAGTACATATCATTAGAAGTACAAAAATACAATTATTTTATTTTTATTTAATTTTTCTACTGTATGGCGGCCATTTTTTTGTTAGTCGAATGCCCGTTTTCAGCGATTTCAGAGCTCTACGTTAAATTAAATATCTCTGGTTCTAATAATCCTAGAACATTAAAATAAAAACCAATCTCTTCAGAAAGATCTAAATTTTAATATGGTAATATAGTTATGCACTTAAAACTAAATATATAGGTCTAATTACCTGTTTAAAGTTTAACGCAACGATGTTACGAAAACAGATTTTTAACAATTTATTTTTACATAAAGGCAATTGACTATGTGTTTGTTATTTTTTTTATCTGATAGTTATAGGTGTGTACTCCAAATTCTCAAAGTTTCAAGTTGTGGACTTGCATAGGGTATTAAATACAAAATTTCAAAATCTTAAAATTTTCAAAATTTCAAAAGTTTGACGCTTAATATCTCTGTTGGGCATGAAAATAAAAATTTCAAATTTGGCTCAGATATGGTACTAAGTAAGAGTATTATCCTGTAATAATTTTATTTTGTGGACTCAACTGGTTTTAAAGTTATGAAACATTGAAAAGTACTCAAATTAGCATTATATGCGTATAGCGTAGGAAGCATAATATGATATTATATTACACTATCAATGTATTTTTTATTTATTAATAATGTTATATTTTAATAATATATTTTAAGCATTTTGATGTTTTAAAACACTCTACTTTGCTGTCTGCCACAGGTACAAATCTGTGAAAGGATTGTGTTCAGGGAATTGGTAGACGTCCTTCAATATTGAAGTTCTAATTCATCTTTTGCTACTTCTTCATTGTCTACATAAAGAAATTGAATACCTTAAAGGTGTATTTAACAAAAGTTAAACATATCCTTAGCATTCAAAATTTGGTTGTCAATGGTATATTGGGGTCCGCGGAATTGGCTAACTCTGGAACTCGCTAACCCCATGTTAAATGCCCTATCTTCAAATTTGGTCGATGAGAGGAACTCGCTAACTTGTTCGGTTTCGGAATTGGCTAACTCCGGAACCCGCTAACCCGCTCTAAAGCCGGGTTAGCCAATTCCGTCCTCGTACGGAAGTCGCTAACTCGGTCCCTCGGCGGAACTCGCTAACTCCCAATCAGAAGCCTCGCGGGCCGTCCAATGGGAGCCAAGCACGAATATTTTTGGCCAGTGTTGCCGAAAGTGTACTACCTATATCGTATCGGTACCATAATGTCGTATCCTACGATTAATTAGGAGTAAGAACAACGTAGTCGATAAAATAAAAATATTGGAAGTATGTTTAACATTATTCTTATGGTTATTAGGGTGGAAAATGCATTATAGTCTTACCATAGACTAACCAACACAAGTAAACTTTACATCCCTTTGTAAACTTTGAAGCTCGTTTTTCGTGTCTAGTTCATGTCCGGTGACACTGATCGCTAGTGTCGACAAAATTGTGTTTCTATCATTTTATAGTTAACTTCATGATTTGTTCCTTACTGTTTGGTTATATAACTAGGGGACGTGTTATTAGTTGTGATTAGAACGTTTTATTTGGTTAAACGAGGTTTTAAATTACTGAAAACAAGAAACAATTGTAAACAAAACACGACCTCTAAAGACAGTGCACCGGACATAACTAACAATACAACTGTCTTCAGATGATCCATAAGGATTAGAAATGTACTAATATAAGGGAGTATGTTTTATATGTGGGTTTCTTACTTAAATAGTAGCTTATTGGTATGAAAAAGATAAAAATGCACATTTAATTTGGATCTATTACATGTTATGAAATATCTATTTTCGTAGTCCGCCATTTGTTTCTTTTATTCGAATAAATAGCCTACCATTTTGTGAACTTCTGCAAATAAAATTTTTGAGTTCGTATTTTATATACTGGGCTTGTAGTAACCTTAAATCATAAATCATAATAAAATTTACACGTTAAACGTCATTACAGAATTACATTGTAGTGGTTACGTATTTTTAAATAGAGCTATTGAATTTAAATAAATATTTATCAATACATTATAAAGT